ACACACACACACACACACACACACACACACACACACACACACACACATAGCCTTTCGACAATATGCGTTTTTGCTGGCTGTAGCAGCGCTATAGCCAACAGACGCATATTTTTTTATGCGTTTATTTTTATGCGTTTTTGCTGTGCAGCGCTGTAGCGCTGCACAGCAAAAACGCACAAACGCATAATAATTTCTTCTAGCTGTTCTGGATTTGGTAATTTTTAGATGAGACCGGAATGCGAAAACCTCCCACTGGTTTCGCATTTAATATGCCCTGTACAGCGTGTTATGCGATACCAGTTACTATTACAGGTAATCAACTGTTTATTTTATTCCCTTTTCATAATCATAACAAATAAGCATTGAACTAATACACCCGTCTGATTTCAAAGGCGCTCCTGTTCGATTCCTCGAAAAATTTCACATGTTTGAGCGGTTTGGATTACATGCTGAAGTTCCATCTCTAATTTTCCAATACTAGAACAGGCACTTTATCCTCAAAAACAGGCACTTTATCCTCAAAAACCACAATCATTTCTGCAACAAATTGGGAAGGCAGTTCTTTACCGCGCCGTTTAAAGAAATACCTGCGTTGGAATCGCGTGTGCAGCAAATAAATTTTTTTAAGGAATATAAAAAACATCTGGATCCTTCCGATCCTGATTATAAAGATACGGAGGCTGCACTTGAACTAGTGCTCGATGCAGCAACTCATGCGAACGAAATGATGCGAAAATTGGTAAGTAAATATTAAGTCGTTTTCCATTCATCACTGTCTAGTTAATGCTGGTGAGAGTGGGAAGGCAACAGATGTGGACTAAGAGGAAATGAGTTATGCTGCCCTTCGTACTTTCCAACAGTTGATACAGTAGCAGAGATAGTGTTAAACTATGAATCATCTGCTCAACACTATTTATCTTTCTTGAGTATGACGTTTCTTTTTTATTGTGAGTCTAAAATAGTGCTGATTTTTTTCAATATTTAGGACCGGTACAAGAACGTGCTGGAAGTCCAGGAGCAATTGGGGAACGCTGTAGCATTGGTGTCGCCGGGGCGAGAACTTATTAAGAGGGGCAAACTGATGAAGGTGTGTTGTGACACACTACTTAGTTTCACCTATAATTTACAAGAACTGTTTGCCCAACCTGACATGTATGCACCCTAATTTTACGTTTTTTGATAAAGCGCTCGCTATTCTCTGTTCGTTCCGATTTATCAAAGCTAACGTTCCTCGACCAATATTTTCGTCTTTTTGGCACAACCAGTCATTTCCCAACTGATTTCTGGCGCTCTTTTGATTATGCTTCACCGTTTTCGACTGCATTTTCAACCAGCTGGCTAGCTGGATTTTTTTAAGCGATTTTTAACCGTTTACTGTTTTCCTCACCTTTCTTCGTCCCAGGCTGATAATTTTCGATGAACTTTGAACAAACCACTGATTTTCAGTGAACCTTGAGCACGCCACTGATTCACGATAAAAAACATCAGAATTTTGCTTTTTTTACTGTTTGGTTTTCGGCATGATCTCCTTTAGCGGAAAACTATTTCGCTTGCCATTACGAGTTGGCACAAATTATAAGAGAGATTTAAATTGTTTTCATTTTTCTTTGCAAATAGTTAATAGAAGGGACAATTTTCATAAGCTCTGCTAGTAGGGTGGTTGATGTTGATAAAGGCATTATTCCAGGAAAAGATGACTGCCTTCAACTTTCCTAAATAAATTTGAGACACCTAAGTTCAGATTTCGCACATTAATGGCAAAATGAGTGCCAAACTTGTGAGAATAATCGAGGTTTTGTAATGGAGGATTGATGGTTTCTAACTGTTCCATTTGAAGATCTTTTCGTCATCAGAACGAACTGAAGAACGCTATTTGTTCCTGTTCAATGACCTGTTGCTGTTGGCTTCAGAACGGACGCTTCCCGGCTTTGCTAAACTCAAAGTTCGAGCAATTTTTGACGCCACTTTAACTCAGGTCTATTTGCACTTGTAGTTTTGTTGAAAGCTCTCATCGACAAATTTTTTTATGTTGACACCAGTGACAACTATTTGCTTTAGACGGCAGGGCTCTCTGAAATCGCATGTTTTCCAGTTTCTCGTGGCTTTTGTCGCAGAAATTATGGGCAGCTAAGCAAGCTAAAAGGGATTTGCAAAATATCGATTACTATTTTGTTATCAATTATAGCAGAAAGTGGCGAGATCAAGACTGCGTGGATTTCAGATTTGTGAGGGTGATAATCTTGAACGTGAAAATTCTTTTTATGTGCGAGGTTCCGATTCGGTAGCTGGTCCATCCAGGTAAGATTTTTTTTACTGCAGCTGCCTAATTTACATATTTTGAATAAAAGTGTTGAAATGCAAATTAAACTGCATCGTTTAGCTGTGTTCTATCTAAATATTAGCACACTCAAGCGTTTTTTCTAGCTATTAAAGTAGCTCATAACCGCACCTTTGCGCCCTTGCCAGTACACGGGCAATCTTCGAGTAAGTGGTTGAAGCAGTTCATTGGAAACGTCATAATCAGAAAAAAAGGAAATGCCAAAATTGATATTATAATATGACATTAAAAGCTGAAGTAGAGCGTTTCGAGCCACGAATTTATCTACATTCTTCTGCAGTACCACGCGCGAACCTTGTCACTGGAAAATTTTTAGTTACAGGACAAATTAATAAGTATTTGAAGGTATTTATGGATTTGACATATGGAATTGAGAAAAATAAAGAGTGCAGGAATCAGTGATTTTCGCAAGTTAGCGATTTTCTTGCCAAAAATTTCACATGTTTTTACGTGAGATATAATCTCAATGGCCAGATGAAAAAGAGCTAGGACAAGAGAGAACGACGAGTACTGAGTAAATTCGTAATGCCGCAATCAATAAGATAAAACTTCCTGACAAATTCATACCTCATAACGGAGGCGGTGGACGCGCTCGTGAATGTTATTTTTTAGATGTGTGGAGCTGATGGCGGAAAATAGCCAGGAAAAAAGCGAGTGGATCGACGCTGTTTGGAATGTCGTTAGTGAAAGTTTGTCGCGCAAGAAGTCGTTTAGTCCAGTCGCAATGGTAGGCCTTAATACTTGTGCGGAGTTTTTTGCTTGCAGGGTATCGAGAAGCCCAACTTGCAAAATTTTTAAGTGTAACAGTCTGGAACCGAATTTTATGTCCTGCAATAATCTTCGCCTTCCTGATTGTGTTCTTAATTTTGCAGGTTCCAAACATGATTTCACCGCGGTCGGAAAGTCGCTGTTGTGCAAAGTGCGATGCAGAATTTTCATTCATATCGAGAGGTACAACGTGCGTGCGCTGTGCGCAACGATTCTGTAAAAAGTGTTTCGGGAAGTTGCGCAGTGAAGATAAATGTATGCGCATATGCGACATGTGCTTGCGGCAGCAGGTGAGCCATCCCAGCTGCATGCGTGCTTAGCATGCCCTTTTTCGTCTGTTTGAATGAATGGACTTCTGTTTTCCAGGATTACGCCCAAAACAAGGAAAATAATTTGCGGAAAAATGTGAATCCGCTACAGATTGGTGCAACAGAAGGGGAAATACTTTATGCCAGTAACGTTAGATTTCGTGGTTCACTGAACAAACCACTGAGGAGGTATTTTGTTGTGCGCAAGGATTTCTGCTTATATTCTTATGCATCGGACAGTGTTAGTTTTTTGCCTCATTTACGATACATTGCATTATTTTAAATAAAGAGCAGTGGACCTGTAAGGAATTAAAATTTTGCACTGTCGAAACCTTGAGATCGATTCTTTTCAGCTTTTTTCCGGACTAATTTGGTAGAAACGAGAACGTAGGCAAACGGCGGAGGGGGAGGGGGGCGAGGGGATCGGGGGCGGGCTGACCAGTTCCTGGTCTGGTTCGTAGAAAATTGGATCTGTTTTGTTATTGGACATTACCTTCAGACCACCAGTGCTTGTTGCACTAGTAGTGAATAACTTGTAATTACAGGCCGAAAATGCACTTGCAATGCTTCCGCTCCCGGGTTGTGAAGTAAAAATGAGTGGCGAACGGCTTACCTTTACAATCAAGCATATGGAACGGCAATACACTGTCAGTGTGGATAATGAACAAGCACAAATCAAGTGGATGGCCGTGCTGGATCTCGCTTCAAATGCTGTACTCAGGGAGAAAACTAATCTGTGACCATTATACTGTTATTCTATTGACTATTTGTTGATTTAGCCATCAGATGGACGCTACGGCACTTGTCTCAGACATCCCACAACGACAGCCAAAGAATCATTTTGCTTGTTATTTTAGATCCAATAGTACAGCAGCGTGCGGTTGCGTGCACGTCTTTCCGTGTTTCTGTTAAGACACCGTCCTTCTGGAATAACTGAAATTTTTGAAAAAAAAAAAGACATAGAGAACTCTTTTTATGTTAGAACAGCTGCTTCATGTAGGCCTTTTATCCTTCCTGTTTTGGGGAAAAATCTTCAAAAGCATCCCATGCATGATCCTAGCTTCCCGATGTAAAATGGAATGGGAAAATTGTGGCCTATAACTAGAAGCCAAAAATCCAACATAAATTTTAAAGCAGTTGATCAGCTTAAGTTGATTTTGAGCCCGCAAGCTTCAATATTATAGCAATAATATGTGTTACTGGGGAATTTTTTGATGTACCAGTGGCTAATCCATATAAATTAGCTTGCGTAAGGTGTCCGGTACGCATCTCGTTTTTCTTTGCGCGTTGCAGAGTACCTTCTTTTTTTGCTGCTTTCAGTAATGGCACTCGTATGTTACGTGAGATGCTCCATTGTGCCAAATTGGCCACTACGTAGGTTGGAAGCCGATAAGTGTGCGAGAAAAAGGGATGGGACGGATATTTTGGAACACAGTCGTAACTACTGACTGGACGAGACCTAAAAAGCATTTTCATTAAAGGGTTGAAAGGCGTGCGTGCAGATTCACCGGTGAACATGCCTGCCCTATATTTTTCAGAAAATGTATGAAGTCGATAGTCAGTTTTACAATTTTGCTAACTTATCCATTATGTTATATCATCAGGGCGACTACACAGGGACACCCATGCATTTCTGCACGTGTTTGATTTTTTCTAGTTGCCTTTATAGTCGCACACTTCAGCACGTAGCTCAGTGATCCCTGGGCTAGCGCAAAAATGCATTCCAGTGGGTATCGATCTTGTTTATATAGCGAACTTGATATGCGGGAGCAGTCCTCTGTGTATTTTACAAAGGTACATTTTCACAATACAAATAACGAATTAGAATAAAAAATTGGATGGAATCATCGACATGGATGTGCATCAAAACTGCCTTGGTATGGCAGTCTGTTTCTTTAGCAACCACGCAAACCACATCTTGACCTAAACAACAGAACTTCTATCACGAAAAAGCGCTTGCTGTCGTGACTGCTGGTGTATCCTCCTTCCAGCAATTGCATGAGCAAAAAAAAATGATACGTGCACCTAGAAGCAGACTAGATGCGCAAAATTTCATTCACGCAGATTGCTAAATTCATATTTTCTTTTTGAAAATTTAGAAATCGTAGAAGGACACATGCATTAAGAGCAATTACTAAACCTAAAAAATCTCTTTAAACCACTCAGGTTCCCAGATCCATGTATTTTTTGAAAATTTCAAGTGCCTAGTCTGTCAATGGGGCTATAAAGACGAGTGCAAATGTTTTTTTTTTTTTTTTTTTCTTCAGAAATGGGCCTTAAATCAGGTGGAAACATATTAATGTAGAGTGCGATTACTAACAAAATGCTGTCGCCACGGAATCTATCGCAGCATACGTAAGGGGGAATCACCAACTCTGTACATAATATTGACATTAAGTGTCAGGTTCAGCACAGTATCGAAAGCATTCAGATTTTGTTTCAGACAAAGGACTGCAGTTTTTTTGAGCCCAGACAGTAGTAGGGTGAAATTTTGTATAATTTGGGTTAGAAAAGCGGTATATTTGGAGAAGATGGGGTCATGTACGATCCACATATGTTAAGACCTCGCATAAAATGCTTTGCTGTTGCCTACACGGAACCAGGACTTCATTCTTCATTAATCCCTCCTGTTGAATCTCATCAGTGTGCCACTCTCACAGAAGAGAGGTACACGGTGCAGTCGCTTTAATAAAGCAGCAGTGCATCGTGAAGCTAGCGCTTTCTGGCTTAGCCGGATAAAACATGCTGCGGATGCGCATTTTGCTAGGAACGTTCAGCCGATCACAATACTTAAAAGATGTTTCACGGAGGGAAGTTATCAGTTGCCGTTTATGCATATCAGTCATTCAGATCTTTATTTGCACAACACGGACCAGAACAAACTTCTTGGATCTGAACATTTAGATCATTCTATTCAAATAATTGAAATTCGTGAAGCTTTTGTGGCAGAAAGAGAATGGGTAGGATGCTTTATCAGCGAAACTCCAAAGTTGCCTTCTTCATCACGACATATTTAAGTGGCGCAAGTTTACTTGATTTCCTAGAATTTTGTAACTGTCTCCAAGTTATGTTTATGATGAAAATTCGAATTCTGAAACTGCAGCACAGCGACAACAAAGGAATCAAAACATGCCGTTATGAAGAAATTGTTAGTAGCTCCATTCCGCAAAAGCGCCTTACGCAAAATAGTCCTGCAAAATATGTTTAATTGAATTTGCACATGCTGATATTTTTGATAGACGAATTTAGACTTGGAACGCCCAATTTTAATTCCTTTAATTCACTAAAATAAACAGTCGTGCACTAGACGCCGGTGCCGTTTTGCACTTTGCAATAAGCTGTTGTGGCCCCTGTCAATGTCTTCTTTTCAAGAATACTGCCAGTATGAAGATCCCATGCTTGTGATGTTGTATTGGGATGCTGCCGTGCATCTATTTCAGCTTCCTCGATCCTATGTGCAGTTAGCATCCACCGCCTTTTTGATGTGCGAATGTCAGCCGCTTTCTTGTTAGTACCACTGACTGACACACGAGTACTCTCCGTTTATTAACAAAGCTAATATGTTCTGTCCATTCGGCTTTACCTTCTGGCACAGTTGCAGTGAAATACTGTACGCCATCCATCCGATGGGAGGCATGACTGCTTATACAGTCATGAACAGACATTTCAAGTAACCTTCACTCCATCGACCTCTCTTTCTCAAAAGAAGTTACTTCCTCTGGATACAGCAACGTTTATTCTTACACCTAATTCCGATGATCGAATTTCGCATAAGTACGTCACCTTCGGGACAGTGATAATGAAAAGGTGCTGTAGTCTTTCCGGTTTGATACTTTGAGAACGTCAATGATGTTGTTGACAGCGGCAATCCCTGTTTTTTAAGCGCAATTTTTGCTGGAAGTTGTAGAACATATTCTTTCAGGTCAACACTGCTTTCCTCCAATTGCAGCGGGCATATCGGCCCTTTGCATCACCTTTGCTTTCAGCACGTTAGTTTTCAGTCCACTTCCTTACTTGCTGTACATAACTTCTTCAACATCTCGTTTTCGGCAATTTTTTTGTCTATTGAACGAAGGCCGTTTAGAAAGTTGATGTAAGGACTCGATGTTAGCAATACTGAGATACTCCCATGTGCAGAGCGCAAGCGTGCCAAAAATTTCCAATAGCCCAAATTCGAGATGTCTTTCCCACTCAGAGTTGTCAAAGCTGTACAGTTTTGAGTAGTACAACACAAACCCTAGCTGTCGCAACATTTCGAAAAAATGAGGCTGTTGGATTTCAGTTCTTAGACGTCTTTTATTTTTTAACCCAAATTTCCCAAACGATGATTATTCCTTTTTGACACAATACCTTGCTAAAGTTCTAACCTCATCATCACTGTCTTCATCTGTCACTTCATTGCAACTGGAGTCGTATTTTGTTATTTTTGCTGTTTCTGGAGCTGGCAACTCCACAACTACTTCGTTGGAAGGAACACGCAAAAGCCAATTACGATAGATGCTAAACGGTTGGTACCAGGCACTGGAAAAGTCAAGTGCATTTTAGAAGAAACACTGAAAAAAACAACTACTAAAGATGCTTCCTTTTCTCGGTAGCACCAGAAACTATCAATCAGCTGGATAATAAAAAACAGCACTGCAATCGAAGCATGGGGCATGAACTTGCAAAAAAATCTTGCTGACAGGGAATCAAACGAACCAGCTTTGAAAATATACGTAAGTGGATAAAAGTATTTGGAAGTGTTGCAAAGCGCCAAATGGTTCGCATGTAGAATCTGTTCACCTTACACAAACACAAACAAAAGTGCGTAAATACATAGCTACATACAGACATGCTTGCATACATACAAATACATCAAGAATATCAGAAGCGCAAGGACAATAGGTTTGGGGACTCGAATTTAGTGGGTTGTTCTGCGACATCGGGCGCAGTTATGTCAGGCTGTTAGGTCCAAGACTGCATACGGTTATGACGAGTATTTACTTTCTGAACAATATGTATACGTATATATAATAGAGTAAGTAACGCCTAGCTTTCGAAGAAATAAGTCGGATAAAGTTTTGTTCACAGACCCAGACTGATTCGCTGCTGTACCATTCAGATGTGCTCTCAACTATTACTTAAGAAACAAGCCCTCGACAAAATAAAACCTAAGCTGGAACGCACCAGACGGGCCGGTGCGATTATACGTTTTTGCACTTTTCGTGCTGTAGCAAGATCGCAAGGGATCAAAGTAGCTAGCCCTGTGAAATACTGACCCGCGAAATTCGGGAAGTTAATTGTGTAACTATGTGGTATGCCAGTTGTAGGTGTCGACTTCAGTGACACGACAAATGGAAGTTGCTGGTCCTCGAAAAAAGGCCACACAAGAAGAGTTAAGTTTAAAATCTTTTAGTTGCACATGAGCAGGAAATATCCCCTTAAAATTAAAGCCTTCAGCTTTTCCCCTTTCTGAGTTAGCAGTTTTCCCATCAAAATTTTCACGTGTCCGTACATGAGTACTGGACAGTTTTAAGG